TGACTAGCTGCAGCAACCCTTTTTTACCTACAACGCTTTACTAGCTCAAAAAACTTAATTACCATAGCAATGTTTTAAATGCTGCAAACAAACCTTTGTTACTGTAGCAGCTGACCTTTACTAGTTGCAGCAACCTTTGTTACCATAGCAACTGCCTGTTACTCAGGAAAGCAACAGTTGTAAAATTAGCTATTGACCTGATTTTGTTTAGATTTCATTTTCTCAGCAACCACCTTATCTGCAGCAACTGCAGCTGTTACTGCAGTAACAGTGGTAAAAATAGTCATTGACCTAATTTGTTTAAATAATTGCCTGGATTTTGCAAAGATTTATTCAGAAACTGAAATTTTGCCATTATATTTCAAGAATGCAATCTTCTGAAAAGTTTTGTAGTGTCACTGTTGTAGTGTATGTTGTTGTTAGACAGTTTGTCATCAACTATCTATATACAAAATGACGTAGACACTTTCTCATCAACTATCTATATACAAAATGACGTAGACAGTTTCTCATCAACTATCTATATACAAAATGACGTAGACAGTTTCTCATCAACTATCTATATACAAAATGACGTAGACAGTTTCTCATCAACTATCTATATACAAAATGACGTAGACAGTTTCTCATCAACTATCTATATACAAAATGACGTAGTAGACAGTTTCTCATCAACTATCTATAAACAAAATTGGTGTAGACAGTTTTCTCATCACTATCTATATACAAAATGACGTAGACAGTTTTTCATCAAACTATCATCAAAATGAGTAGACAGTTTCTATCAACTATCTATATACAAAATGACGTCGTAGACAGTTTCTCATCAACTATCTATATACAAAATGACGTAGACAGTTTCTCATCAACTAATCTATATACAAAATGGTTCTTATCAACTATCTATATAACAAAATGTCTGTAGACAGTTCTCATCAAACTATCTATAAACAAAATGGTGTAGACAGTTTTTCTCATCAACTATCTATATACAAAATGACGTAGACAGTAGATACAGTTTCTCATCAACTATCTTATATACAAAATGTGTAGACAGTTTCTCATCAACTATCTATATACAAAATGACGAGACAGTTTCTCATCAACTACTATATACAAAATGGCGTAGACAGTTTCTCATCAACTATCTATATATACAAAAATGACGTACAGACAGTTTCCCATCAACTATCTATAAAACAAAATGTGTAGACAGTTTCTCATTCAACTATCTATAATACAAAATGACGTGTAGACAGTTTTTCTCATCAACTAATGACACGTTGGTAGACAGTTTCTCATCAAACTATCTATATACAAAATGAACGTATTTAGATTTTCTCATCAACTATCTATGACGTGTAGACAGTTTCTCATCAACAACTATTCTATATACAAAAATGACGTGTAAGACAGTTTCTATCAACTATCAAAGTATTCTCATCAACTATCTATCATGACTGATGTAGACTGTTTCTCATCAAACTATCTATATACAAAATGACGTAGACAGTTTCTCATCAACTATCTATAAACAAAATGGTGTAGACAGTTTTCTCATCAACTATCTATATACAAAATGACGTAGACAGTTTCTTCATCAATCTATGATAGACAGTTTCTTATCAACTATCTATAAACAAAATGACGTAGACAGTTTCTTTATCAACTATCTATATACAAAATGACGTAAGACAGTTTCTTATCAACTATCTATATACAACATGACGTAGACAGTTTCTCAATCAAACTATCTATATACAAAATGGTGTAGACTGTTTTTCATCAACTATCTATATACAAAATGACGTAGACAGTTTCTCATCAACTATCTATTAACAAAAATGGTGTAGACAGTTTCTCATCAACTATCTATATACAAAATGACGTAGACAGTTTCTCATCAACTATCTATAAACAAAATGGTGTAGACAGTTTCTCATCAACTATCTATATACAAAATGACGTAGACAGTTTCTCATCAACTATCTATATAGACAGTTTCTTATCAACTATCTATAAACAAAATGACGTAGACAGTTTCTCATCAACTATCTATATACAAAATGACGTAGACAGTTTCTCATCAACTATCTATATAGACAGTTTCTTATCAACTATCTATATACAAAATGGCATAGAAGACAATTTGTCACCAACAATCTATAGATACGTTCTTGCTGTTGTTTTTTTGTGTAAGCAATATTTTCTTGCAAATTTTGCAAATTATCTGCATATTTTGTATGTTGTTTTTTTTCTCTCTAAAAAGTAAAAACTTTGTGCTAGTTTGGTTAAAAATTATTTCATCATTTTTACAAGGAGTGTTTATTGTGAAAATTTATTTGTATATTTATGCAGGAAGTACAAAAATGTACTTTGATTGCTGTTATTCACATCAGCATTTCTAGTTTTGCTGATAAGCAAAGTGTGTCCAATATCCCTGCTGTTGTTGTTGTTTTTAAGATTGACCCCTAAAAATTGAACATCATATTGTATTGACAACATTGCACAAGAAAAAAACAACAAAAAAGCCCATAAAAAACAAATTAATTGCTTAAGTAAACCTTATTTGTATCCATAAATTGTCTATTATTATTCTACAATTAAAAATATGCACATACGTTAATGGTATACTACAAGAAAAAAACAATTATTTGTGACATATCTTGTGACATATCTTTATATCAAGGGTTGACTGCAAACCTACAGTAACTGTTATGAAATGAAGGACTTAACAACAGTTTTGCAGTCAACCTTCGATAAGCTGCCAAAAAAATGTCTTACAGTTCTTACATTACAGAAACTTAACCTGTACCACCATTAATATTTTAAATGGACTTGTCCACTAAATCATTCATCAATTTTTGGGAAAGTTTTCAGAAAAATGTACTGAATGAATCAGACAGCATTTATGTGCTTGCTGATCTTTGTCTATTCTTCCATTCTTAGGATATAATGTTTAAGGATGTTTATATACTCTTGTTGTACAATCATAGTTAACTTTTGAATACTTCCATAGTTTTAGCTCTGTCTTTATTAACATCTTGTCATGTTATATCATAGATTTAGCTCCGCCTTTATTGATACCTCATTATATGGTTTCATAGTCCGAGCTCTGCCTTTATTGATAGCTTGTCATGTTTTAAAGTGTTAGCTCTGTCTTTATTGATAACTCATCACCTGGTTTCATAGTCCAAGCTCTGCTATTATTGACACCTTGTCATGTTTATAGTTTTAGCTCCACCTTATTGATAACTCATAATGTGTTTTCATAGTCTAAGCTCCGCCTTTATTGATAGCTTGTCATGTTTTAAAGTTTTAGCTCTGCCTTTATTGATAACTTATAACGTGGTTTCATAGTCCAAGCTCTGCCATTATTGACACCTTGTCATGTTTTATAGTTTTAGCTCCACCTTATAGATAACTAATAATGTGGTTTCATAGTCCGAGCTCCGCCTTTATTGATAGCTTGTCATGTTTTAAAGTTTTAGCTCTGCCTTTATTGATACTTTATCATATTGTTTCATAGTCTAAGCCCAGCCTTCTGATACCTTGTCATGTTTTTTATTTTATAGCTCCGCCTTTATTGACACCTTGTCATGTTGTTTTATAGTTTTAGCTGTGCCTGTATTGACACTTTAACTCTCTGCTTAGCTTTTTAGAAAATGTATATTAACTAGTTTTATACAATTTGGCTTACTTAACACTTGTAGGACTTGCAAATTATGATAGCTAAAACAGAGCTTTACTTTTCTTTTTCTTCAATATAATAGCTTTTGTTTTAAGCTTATCTGAGCACTATGTGCTCAATTGTGAGCTGTTAAGATCAATTGTTTGGCATCCTATGTCCTTTAGGAAAGCTGGAAAGTCAGTGTGTGTGTGGATTTTACTTTTCTGAGCAAAGTGGGCGGAATTGAGAGAGACAAGTCAACTATTTGGCCCAAGTTGCCTAGAAACGTGATCCCTGGTATATGACCTTGGTTCAAATAATGACTCAACTAAAGAAAAATATAATTTTTTTTTTTTTTTTTTTTTTTTTTGCTTTTATACATGTACATGTGATGTATAATTTTCTGCACCTACCGTATATAAGGGGAAGGTTGCATACACAAACATTAATCCATTTTCATTTTCAGGTGCTGAAAAATTATCAGGCGTTTTAAATCATACTAAACAAACAAAATCAATATGTCACATAAGTGTGTTTTTTTTTTATTTAACAACATAGGAATTGTACAAGTACGCAAGAAATTCTAATAACAATTTTATTATGCTGATAGACATGGTGTTTGAACCATTGTGTTTGTAATGTTTTATTTCAGTCTTTAAAACCTTTATTTGATGACTAACTGCTAACAATTTAGTACTATATGTTTTCTGTTATGTATTTTTAACATATTAAGCTATGTATTAAATTTTTGTGCATAAAAGTTGAATTATAATGTTTCATGATTGTGTCTTTCAATGTTTTAAGTTTGAAATTTAGACCTTAAGCCTTTAAAATGTTATGTTTTCTGTTGGCCAACTTTTACCCGGCTTAAATATGTGATTAGCCTTTGTCTGTATTATAGAGACAGGGTAAAATGACATCCGTGCAGTGTCTGACCAGGTTCTATGTAAAATCTGTTTCGCGTATTAATAAACATAACATCATTCTGACAGGGACTTTGGATTCTTTCGAATGTGAGGAAGCTATCCAGCTAAATAATAGAATGTTGGGGGTTCTACTCTGGTGCCCATTATTGCCTGAAATAATACATGGAGGGGAACCTGAAGAAAACTGACAGAAAAACAAAAACAAGATTTTTCATTCATGAAATCTAAATTTCAAACTTAAAATATTGATGTATTGTGGCTCTGGTCAAGGTTTCCACTTCCAAAATGTGTTGATAATGTAAAAGATATTTTAAAGAAATGCTCTCAAGGGTTTCACTACTGACATTTTTTGAGGATATAAAATTTTCATATGTATTTATAAACTCTGTTTTTCTATTTTGCAGCACAATAACCCTTATATCATGGCTATGGTGAATGATGGAACAAAACAGTATGAGCACCAGAAGTAAGTATTATGCCTACAGACTTTTACAATTTCAATTATAATTAAATTTTAATAATTAAAAAAAATTTCAATTATACAATTTCAATTGTAAACCAAAAGTAGTGATTGAATATCTTCAAATAAATCAGTTTGAAATTTTGAAATAAGTATTTAATTTTTATGTTTTGGATGATGTCTCATGTTCAGAAATTAAAGTATTGCAAAATTTATTAATTTAAATTTTGTGTTCTGTGGCTCATGATTTCTCAAAAAAAGAACCAAAGTTTCTTTAAAGTATATGGCCGTCATATCATTATGGAAATTTTCTTGTATAAATAGTTACAATATTTTCCTTTCTAGCAAAAAGTGGCAGCCATTTGTCGGTGGTCAATATTCACAAATGCAATCTTGTTGTAATCTATTTCAGTGATGGAATCAACCAGCAGCTTGGTGGATGTATGAGAGATTTCAGGAACAAACCTTTCCCGATCCGAGCTAAGATAGAATATTACAACAAAGTTTTAACTGTAAGTATTTAATATGATGTTCAATCTATGACGCTGGAGAGATGTAATCTTGTAATGTAATTCAATGTAATGTTTTCAAGAGATGTCCCTTTCCAGAACTTATATTAGTTACCCATGAATGTTGCTTAGATTGCTTGTCCATGGGGATATATGATAAAAATTTGTGTTTAAATCGCCTTTAAATCCAGAAAAGAAAAATGAAGCAAATACCTTTAAACACAAAAAGTTAATTGTGTCTCTGATCTCTAGCTGATAGTTAGAAAAAATTTTCATCTGACCTTGATAATATTAGTTATAAAGATGTGTATAGGATGGCTCAATATAAACCATTCTGTCTGTATACTGCCGTAAGGCCAGGGTTATATTGCAAACTATCATTTATGCATGGCCATGTTAATTGTCAAACATCTTTATTTTCAATTTATAATACATTAAAATTGCTTTGTTTGAGGAAAAACGAAAAAAAAAAAAATTATAACTTGACAGCAGCGTTGTATATAGATTATATAAACATCATGCTTATCCAATGAAAAGAGATGTTACAAACAAACAGTACTATAGTGTGTGTATGATTTAAAACCTAATTACACACCTATTATAATTGCAGGTGTTTTTCAACAGTGGATTGACCAATAATAAGGACGATTTCGAGCTGTGTTTACGGGCGGAGAACGTAGAGCTGCCCAAGTCCGGATATTTTGGTGTCAGTGCTGCCACAGGAGGACTAGCTGGTATGAACCATTTGTTATACATTTATAACCAGTCAGCTTTCTTGTTACAAAATGTTACAAGGTTTTCCCATTCCTTACTCATTGGTTGAATTATACATTTGTAACCAATCAGCTTTCTTGTTACAGATTATCATGATGTGTTAGCATTCCTCAATCACTCATTGGTTTATATATACATTTGTAACCAATCAGCTTTCCTTTTACAGATTATCATGATGTATTAGCATTCCTCACTCGGTCATTGGTTGATATATACATGTGTAACCAATCAGCTTTCTTGTGACAGACTGTGATGAGGTTTTTCAATTCTTCACTCACTCATTGGATGAAATATACATTTGTAACCAATCAGCTTTCTTGTTACAGATGATCATGATGTGTTGGCATTCCTTACTCACTCATTGGTTCCCCCAGGACAGGAAGTTAAGTCCACTGTTGATGATGCAGAAAGGGCAAAATATGAGAAAGAATTCGAGGAATATTACGAGCAGTTGGAAAAAGCAAAGAAAGAGTATGTTTTGTTTGTTATGATGCAGAATAGGGGTGTAAGAATATACTTACCTCAAGATATACTTAGTATGGGATCGGGGGAGGGGGTAGTGACCTAGTAATAAATCTGATTAGCTCTCAAGATTGTTGGTTAAAATTTTTAAATGGGCTTGCCCAGCTTCAATTTTTTGGGAACTGTTCATTATCAATTTTGGGGATATTAGGATGGTCAGCCAACTTTATAAGAGTCTGGTCAAACTACACGGGTTTGCTGGCTGGCCGGGTTTCGGTACTGGTGGTGAAGATGTACCACTTTTGAGTGTAACAGCATTAAGTGATTAATATATATAATCATGTTATTATAGTTATTTCTCTATAAGTTTGTCAGCCTACAGTAAAGAACCTGGTCAGACTGCACAGATGTCTATGCTAGAGAAAAAGGCAAATCACTTTTGGTTCCATTACATGTTCCTTAAAGGTTAACATATAAGTATATACAGTCAAACCTGTTTAAAGTGGCCAGCAAGGGCATGAGCTGTAATGACTGCTTTATACAAGTGACCCCTATATCTAGCTTATATTATAATGGCAGTTCTTTCTATCAGACTTTAAAACTGACTGTTACAGACAAGGTGGGGTTATATACAGGTGACTGGGCGCACATCGTATGACAGTACTGTGATTTTTATTTGTTTGCTTTTTTTTTATTTCCAGATACAATGAACAACATCCAGATAAACAAGGAGGTGAAAATCTTGAACAGGTATGTGATCGTTGTACTTTTGGTAATTTTGCTAGTGGTATTGCAGTGGTTCTGTTGTAGGACACGCTTTAAGACCAAAATATCCTGGGTTCGAGCTCTAACACAGACACTGCTGTTTTCATAAAGCAGGATATTAACTCTATATTGTATTAGTTCACTAAGGTGTAAATGAAAGGGTGTATTAATTCTTTGGTGTCGTGTTTTGAGAAACATTAACAGAGTTAAAGACTTAGGGTACTCTGTCAAAAATCTAGAGCTATATAAACCAAAATTTCTTATTTTTTAGGGTTTTACTTTATGACAGCATGCGTGTATATAAGTTATATTATAAATAAAAGTGAAAATTATCCAATGAAAAGTGACTTTACAAAAGTGCTGTATTATACTGGTAAGGAAACATATACTGGTACCTAGCACTGTAAGTGTACATGAACTTATTCCAGGCATACGAGAACCAGGCAGACAGAGAGTTGAGGATGATATTTGAGGGACAAAACTTTATTCATCAAACATTGAGAGAACTTAGTAAAAGATTTGACGAGTTGTTAGGTCGACAGGAACTTGTGTTGTCCAAGGTCACTCAGATGTCAACAGGGGGCGTGGCTGTGCCTCAAGGCGGGGTAAATATATTTGAATATTCATTAATGTTGATAATGAAAAATTTTATACAAACATGTCTTTTATAATTTTAGCTTTATAGCAAAAAAATGACATTTTGGAAACTGTAACCGGAAGCCTACAATAAAAAGAATTAAAAAATAAAGATATTACAAAAATGGCACACAAGCTGATTTTATGACTGGTCAAACAAGTGCATTTAAGAATTTTCACGGATCAAGACCCGAGGTCTCAGGGCAAACGAACACCCTGATATTAGCATTTTTAGGTTATTTGTGCGTTTAAATTTGGGTGGTTATCCCGACAATTGGAAAAAACCATGCATCTACATTTTTTACGAAAAAATTTAGAAATGTACTACTTAAAAAGGGGAAAATGCAACCATTTATTCCATGCCAAACTTGCTTTGGGCTGCACTTGTCCCAAATGGTATAATTTTGTAGTAAAAAAGGGTTAATTAAAAAAATTTAAAAGTTTTAACATCTTTGTCAAAGTTTGACCAGAAAATAAATGATTTTTTTGTTACAGCAAGGGCAACAAGGTGGCGGCGGTGGGTACCCACAGATTGACACGATCAAGCGTCACGAGGTGGAGAGAGTGATCAACACACAGAATGACATTATACAAGAGGCAAGACAAATCAGGTACCAGGAAAATATTTTTGTTTGTTGCACACCAGACCAGATTTTTTAGCTTTAACCCTTTCATTGCCATAAGGACGGCTTATGCCGTCCCTGTTATTTTCGGCGTATTTGCCATATGGACGGCTTTAACCGTTTCTATAATAATAATAGTAATAATAATAAATTAATAATAATAATAATAATAAAAATAGTAATAAATATTAAGAAAATTATACCATCGACAATAATTATTATTATACTAACAGATTTGGAAACATATATAATTATTATAATACTTATAACAAATAATAATAATTATTTTAATTAATAATATAGTAATTTCTTAGAAAATCCTCTGGCAAATAGGTGAACAATAAAACAATAAACCTCTGGCAGCGAAAGGGTTAATAATGGTGTAACCGTGTTTAAGAATTTTGTTTTACACACACTAGGGCTGGTGTTGAAATGAGTTGAGACATGTTTAATTTGATGCTGTCCATTGTAACTGAGACAGATTATATTGTTGTAAATGGGAGGAATATTAAAAAAGAAGTAGAAAAAATTTCTGTAAATGTGGGGCTTTAATATGAACATTTTCTATAAATGAGAGTAATTGAATTATAATAATTTCCTGTAAATGAGGGGACTTTGATATGAAAAATACCTGTAAATGAGGAGGCTTTGATGTGAAAATTTCCTGTAAATGAGAGGGATTAATATGAAGTAAAAGAGGCAAATTGTAATTTAATGATTTCTTGTAAAAAAGTGGGTTTAATATGAACATTTCCCATAAATGAGGGGTCTGTGTATATAAAAAAAAATCTAAACTTAAGCTTTAAGTTAGTTTAGTTTATACAAATTTATTTTAGTTCGATTTTGTTGGAAGCTATAAGCTTATTGAAACACTCTCGAATCCGTTCCTGGAACCAACCAGTACTAAGCAATGAATGTAAAGTTTCTTGCTCAAGGAAACAACGGCTTGCCCCTGACAGGGTTTGAACCCACGCGGTCAGCAATCCTTAGATTACTAGCATTAACCACTCGGCCACGCCGCCACAACTTAAGCTTTTATAATGTTATCTGTAAATGAGGGGGTTATTTTGAACATGTTCTGTAAAATATTAATATTTCCGGTCAACGAGGCAAATTGTAATTTAATAATTTCCTGTTATTGTGGGGGTTTGATATGAACAAACTTTTCGTGTAAATGAGGGGGCTTTAATTAGAACATTTCCTATAAAAAAGGGTCCATCTAAACTTTACTTCTATATTGTTGTCTGTATTTTAGACAAGTTGTCAATGATGTCCAGCAGAGAGCTAATTATATCCAAAGTAATTTGGCCCAAGGAGGCGGGCAAGTACAACAAGGAGGTGGAGGAGGAGGCGGGGCTAGCCCACAATTACAGCTAGCCATGCATGAAGTGCAGGAAAATTTAAGAATTGTCAAATCAGATGTTAGTCAAATGTTCAATCGGCCACAGGTAAAAAAACAGCAACTAAATGTTGCCTTTGGTTTGTTTTTAAATCTTGAAAAAATTGTTTAATTAAAGGAACTCCACTGAGGTTCAAAAGCCTAAAAATATAGAATTTGAAGTTCTTACATAAATCATCAGGGACAATCAAAACAGAAAGATATGCTTAAATGAAATATGCTCAGAATTATGTCATTTTTTGCAAGTGGAAGAAAAATCCTGGAAAAACTGAGTGAGGGAATGATCTAAAATTTTGCTCACATGTTACTTATATCAGGGCTTCAGATAATTTTCTAGGGCAATGAGTATTTACTCATTGATTTTTTCATGAATGAGTAAAACTTGAAATCTGAAATTTGGGATGAGTTATTTTACTCCTACATGGTTCGCACGGGCCTTGAAAAGTCCTTGAATTTGGTTTCAACCTTGAAAAGTCCTTGAATTCAGGGTTGCCTTGAAAAAACACTAAAATTGTCCTTGAATTTCAGTAAACCCCCTTGAATTTCGGTAAAATGCCTTGAAAATCCAAAAGGGTATAAAACCTGTCGCTGTAAAGGTCAGGCAAATTTTCCGCTACAAATCGGACATGTGAACGAAGGCAGCCCGATCGAGTGCACCCATTTGGATCTGTTTTAGTAGTGTTTAGCCAGCGTTACGGTTTTGGCACGGATTTTAACAAGCACTTGTGTATGACGTCATCGCAAATTGTGTACAAAATGTCAGTTCCATTGCGAAGTAAAAAATGGGAAAATACACTAAGAAATGTACGTTTCAGCTCAAATGGCTTCAACAATACAGTTGGGTAAAACAAGTTATACAAGACCCACGAAAAGCACAATGTACCATGTGTATGAAAACCATCGATTTGTCGCAAATGGGAGAGAGTGCATTTACATCGCATGTGAGGGGTGCAAAGCACCTAAAAATCTAGACATCAAGTCGTCATTGACGAAGTGTGGCCTTGCATTTGTCAGACAGGAAGGAACTATAAATGTCAAAACTGAAAATTGCAGTAGATCTGATTCAAATAATAACATTGTGCCATCCCAATCCACAACGGAAACTGTGCATGACATGACAATACCACCCCCACCCACTTCTAGTAATCATTGATTTGTGACTGAATCAAACATTCTAAGAAAGGGCTTCAAAGAAACGAAACTGGAAGTTGAGGAAATTGGAAGAGAAATCCAAAAAAGAAAGGAAAAACTAGATAGAGTTGTGTGAATTTACTCAATCACCTATATGTTACAGTTTTGGTGTTCATATATTCTACTGACTGTGCTGATTTTCTTAATATAGTCACTGTTTTGCAATTCTAGTCATTTGAACCTTAAATTGAAATACACATGTTTTATTTACATGTTTTATATCACAGATATGGTTGTAAAAGTATAATTTTAAATAAGATCAATTGCAATAAAAATGTATATCACAGATATGGTTGTAAAAGTATAATTTTAAATAAGATCAATCGGGAAAAAAATGCCTTGAAAATTACAATTTTACCTTGAAAAGTCCTTGAAAAGTCCTTGAATTTTGATTTGAGAATTTGGTATGAACCATGTCCTATAAATTATTGTAAATGAATAAAAAACCCTTAAATATGTTCCTATGTTTATTGCGTACTAGTGCAGTGTTAATAAATATTTATAACCTGTGTTTATGAATATTTATTACTTGTGTTGATGAATATTTATTTCTTGTGTCTATGAATATTTATCATTTGTGTTTATGAATATTCATTTTCCCATTCACAAAAGCGTATGATTATGATTATCATTTATGAATATTTATCATTTGTGTTTATGAATATTCATCTTTCCATTCACAAAAGCGTATGATTGTGATTATCAGTTATGAATATTTATCATTTGTGTTTATGAATATTCATTTTCCCATTCACAAAAGCGTATGATTGTGATTATCAGTTATGAATATTCAATATTTGTGTTTATGAATATTCATTTTCCCATTCACAAAAATGTATGATTATGATTATCATGAATGAATATTTATTTTCCAGGCTGCAGTTGGAGGTTGCCCTGTACCACCACCATGTTTATCACCGGTGTTGTTCTTTGTAGCCATAGCTTTACAGTGTGTTGTTTTAATAGGATACATGATATATAGGTAAGATCTTATAGCAAACTATACTTGAAGAAATTTTTGTGTAATTTCAAATGTTGATCCTCGTTTGGGTGTAATCTCTCCATGATCTCGGACATTGAGTCCAACAGTCATTTGTGTGTTTAACTGCCAATTCGGAAACCATGTTATATTGATTTGTTGGTCACTTGGTGAGAAATTGGTAATTACTGGTTTCTTTTTCCCGGAATAATGGTTATGTGAATTGACTGTCGAGATAGAATCAAATTAGATGTGTAAAAGCAAGGTAAAAACGAAACAAAAACAAAAAAATAATAAGATTCATTAGTAGATGAAAAACCTTACATGTCAAGATAAGAAACTTTACATGTCAAGGGAGGTAACCCAATTGAAAGTTTGTTAAATGATACAGAAACAGTCTGGATAACCTCCCTTGAAGTGTTGATTTATTTGTTATATAAGGTGAATTTGAACCACTTTGAATCAATGCATTTGAATACAGCTGCTGACTTAACTGTGAGATTTGTTCATGTGATGAAGCAACCCAGTTAGCTGATGGAAAGGTGTTGCATCTGCTTGGATACCTGCTTGTAGAAGGAATAATACAGGGTTGTCTCCTTCTACCAGTATTGCTAGAAAGTCACCATATGACATATACAGTGTCAGTGTTACTAAAAATCAACTAAATAAATAAATACATTTTTATGCTCCCCGAAAAATTTCGGGCGCCTTTTCCGTCTGTCCGTCCGTCCGTCTGTCCGTCCGTTGTCTTGTCCGGAGCATAACTTGAAAACCCTTGGAGATAATTTGTTGAAACTTCATACAGTGGTAGAGGGCATCGAGGGGGAGTGCAGTGTCAAAGAACCATAACTCTATTTTGCCCGGTTTTTGAATTATCTCCCCTTATAGAAAAATCTTGTCCGGGGCATAACTCTAAAACTATAAGAGATATCAACATGAAACTTTGTAGGTGAATAGATCTCAATGGGTAGATGTGCAGTGCATAAGAACAATAACTCTTTTTGTCCTAATTTTGGAGTTATTGCCCTTTGTTTATTTTAATACTTCGAACTTTGTCCGGAACATAACTTGAAAACCCTTGGAGATAATTTGTTGAAACTTCATACAGTGGTAGAGGGCATCGAGGGGGAGTGCAGTGTCAAAGAACCATAACTCTATTTTGCCCGGTTTTTGAATTATCTCCCCTTGTAGAAAAATCTTGTCCGGGGCATAACTCTAAAACTATAAGAGATATCAACATGAAACTTTGTAGGTGAATAGATCTCAATGGATAGATGTGCAGTGCAAAAGAACCATAACTCTGTTAAGCCTTATTTTTGAATAATCTCCCCTTTTAGAAAAATCTTGTCCAGGACATAGCTGTAAAACTATAAGAGATATCAACATGAAACTTTGTAGGTAGATAAATCTCAATGGGTAGATGTGCAGTGCACAAGAATCATAACTCTACCTTGCCTAATTCTGGAGTTATTGCCCTTTGTTTATTTTTACTTTTTGAATTGTCCGGGACATAACTCAGAAATCATAAGAGATATCATCATGAAACTTTGTAAGTTGATAGATCACATTGATTAGAAGTGCAGTGCAAAAAACTGTAACAGCCTTGCCTAATTTTGGAATTATTGCACTTTGAACTTTTTCCACGGACATAACTCTGAAACTACAAGAGGTGTACTTTCCTGTGTCCAAAACCTATTCGGGGAGCATCACCCGGCTCAAACCGGGCTCTTGTTGTATACAGTTTGTTTATAGAAAGTTTGTGGTTCTATGTATAATTAGGTCGTTGACTTCAAACCACTTGCCTCTCACCCCTGTGTGTCTTACAGGTGTACTCTGAATGTTCACTGACCAATGAAAATGCTAAGATTTGAGTGAAAGGTTTTATATTCTAGTGGCTAGGCCAATTTATCAGCTAGCATACAATTCCTAGAGCTTATGCTGTCACATAATGTCAGTTCCAAAATATTTTTTTCTCTTTTCAGACAAAATAAAGAAAACCAAGCCAAGAAATTCTTCTAGATGCAACTTAGTTTTATATATCTTCGTTCATTCCATTATTTGTTACTTTTGCGAATGGGGAAAATGTACCCCTGTGTTAGGAAGAAAAAAAACACATGTTTTGCTTTTTAAAAGATGCTGCACATATAAGTGACACCGACATACCAATTTTACAGTTATCATTAGTTTTTATGTGACATCTAAACATCAGGTGATAACTAAAGAACTATGTTTTGATTACATTTTTTTCATAGTATATTATTTTAGATTTACTGCAGAAAATGTTTCTGCTCTATTTTGCATCTTTTTATTACTTTTAGCTTTAACTTTAGAATTACTGGGTATTATAATCATTATAGATATTAACATGTTGTATGTTACATATTTCACACTGGCATTTCTATATTTAGCCCTCTTCTATCCATGTGTGGTCGTCACATATAGTTTACAGTTACTACACTGTTTTGTGACACAGGAGTACCGGTTTTACTGTTGCAGATACTAATATGAATGAACATTTCTTCATTATTTTTATTGTTATTTGTCATAATTAACATACATATGGCATTTAAAGGAGTTGCTGACTGTGTCATAAATTTTCATTTTTTCATACATTCTGACAATAGTAAAATTTAAGCATTGTGAACCAGTCATATAACTTGAAAGTCTCCTATTGGTTGAAAATTAAGTCATGGTTTAAATCTGACCAATGATAGATCTACTCCAATTCTTTTTGACAGGGTGTTAAATTTCGTTTTAAGTTTGATAACAGTTGGACTGTGTCACAAATATTTTATAAGACAGATATATAATAAATAGCCTTTTTCTTTACAGATATAATACAGATATATATATGTCAGACAAAAGAAGTAATTAATATTATCAATTAGTAGTACTTAAATGTTAGTATTTTACATAACAGTGTCAAAAGTATAAATTATTGACAGATATATACATTTTTTACTGTTGAGAGACTTCAATGTATTAAGCCATATATTGCCTTTCATAGATGAATGCTCAGTAAATTTACAGCCAAATATTTAAGATCATATAACCAACTACTGGAACAGGAAGTGCTTTGCTAGCACCATAGCACTATATAAATCCAGGCCAGCCTTCAGCTTGTGTACCCTGTCCAAGCTCTGTAAGGTCATTACTTCAATTGTATGTGTTTTGATACCGAAATCCCATTAGTTTCATATTTTGAAACAGGGCTAAAGGGCTAATCTGTTACACTATTTCAGCAATTTTAGGGTTATATATTTTATATATATAGTGAAGCATGTTTTTGCACTGGATGATATATTAGAATTTTTTACACTATGAAGGCCATATGTTAGTTAAGGAAAATTGTGTGGATTTGAGATAGACAAAAATCTTCAATAACTTTTATTTTTTTCTTGTAAATGTCATGTTCAGGAAAGCTTGGGGTGTAAGTATCTAAATTTGGTATAATGAGTTGTATAATCTAGTGACAATGTTTCTATGAACTGTCTTCAGTAAAAACCAAAATTAAATTTTAAATTTATTTAAAAAATTAATTAAATTTGTGGTCCGCAAAAATAGATGCAGAATGGTTTGCTTATCAAAGGTGCTTTCATTTTTCATTTCAAATAACATTACCCATTCCATTCCTATGTTTTTTTCTTTCCTTTATGTTAAGAATGGTTGTTTTGGACCAAAAAAGAAATCATTCTTATTGTATTATTACATATATGCTGAAGGTTTTTATTGTACATGTGTTAGACTGGATGTTTGGAAAATCTATTTTTAGAATTGATTGTATGTGGAAAGTCTATTTTTAGAATTTATGGATGTGCTATTTTTAGCTTTTACGGAGGAGAGGTACTCAATATATCAGATATTTGTTAATGATAAATAGTTGTTGTTATAAGAATTGGTAAAATGTGTTATTAAAAGTTTGCATGAAATGTATGTATGGAATGATGTGGTAAAATATTGTCCAGTGTATATAAGTATGGGATATAAATTATTTAGGTAATATTTATATTTAAAAGAAGAAAAAAGCTTTTAGTGAATTATAATATTATTTATCATCTTTAAGTGCTAAAGAAAAAAAGTTTAAGTCTAGTCAAAGACTGGACTGGTAAAATTCTAAAATTAGAACTGAGTTAAAGTGAATTGGTCTGTAGTTTGCATGTTTTCCATATGACTATTTTAAATATTGATAAAAAAATGGAAACGTATCATTCAGATGTTCTTGTTCAATATTGCTTGAAAAAAAGAAATGTTGATAGAGTTCTTAGTGTTTTAATTTACACATTTATATGATGGATAATAATATTTTATTCTGGAACGTTTTATTGAGGGTTATATATTTATAGATATGGTGAAACCTGTTATCACATTGGATGATATATAAGAATTTTTACACTATGATGGCCATATGTTATGGAAAATTATGTGGATTTAAGAAAGAAAAAAATAATTCTCAATTTCAGAGAGCGCTTAGTAGAGAAACTGATAGCGAACAGCATGGATCCAGATCAGACTGCGCGGATGTGCAGGCTGGTCTGGATCCATGCTGGTCGCAAACCCATTATGTTGGTTTTGTCGTGACGCGGCTAATTTCAAAGTTTGTTGCCACATATTATACACAGTACTATCACCCATAACTATTTATGGTATAACAGACCTTCTACGGACCAATTCACTATTAAATGAATTAAAGAATCTACGCAATTTTCTTATTTTCTTTGAAAATGATTATACAAATTTGATTAGAAATGTTTAGAATATCACATAATTTCATACACTTACAAAATTATGTATTATTATGTTTATACTGTGAAATAACGGTGTTTGAAATGCCACTTTCGTACAGCGCAAATTGAAAAAATATAAAACGAGATAGGATGTTGCAGTGCATATTGAATTAAGATTATTTTATTGGAATAAATTATTAAAGTTGTAAGTTTGAAATTAAAGGTGTCATGTGTTATGTGTATAAATGACAAGTATGTGTGAATGTATTATTACGTTCCAAAGGATTGTTAAAAAGAAGATTCTGTCACCAATATGTGTTGGGAAATTTTATATTTGGAGAGTTTATTGCAAAATTGTTGATTTTTTTTTTTTTGTGAAATTATTATGATATTGAAATATTGAATGAATACATAACAAATAGGTAAAGATTGTCTGTAGTGTTACGCGGATGTATCATTTTTTTTATGTATTTCATGCATGTATCCCCTCTTCCCTACCCCTGTTTTCCTTTTTTTTTTGTCCTACCACATTTTGTTGGTCACAAATTATCTGTTTTATGCTGAAAACCATATCTCTTTCAAATCGGTTAAAAAATGTAGAAGGAACAAAGTGAAATTATTTTACACAGTACTGGATAAAATTTGGATCGAAGTTGAGATATTTTTTGATATTAGTAATTCTTGTAGTTTTTTTCCTTGTTATTAAGAATTTATTACAATGTATATAAAGGTTAGAATAATTAAGTGGATGTTGAACAATTTATTTTATAACTTTGGTTGTGAGAATTATAGTATACTGAAAATAATGTGATTTTTGCATTATTTTCATCAATTTGTATCAAACTTTTCAGCGTGGTTAAAGCTTCAACTCTGAATGAGGTTATCAAAAGGCGATAACAATTTTTTCGTCCATTGAGTTCATTTCAGATCATTTGTCTCATTTCTGATCATTTGACTCATTTGTTATCTTTGAGCTATTTTTCATTCACTTTTGGTCATTTTTTGATCTTAGGGCTTATTTCAGCTTATTTAGCTTATTTATTGTCAATAAGTTCCTTTCACATTTTGGGGGTCATTTTCTGAACTTTGTGTTAATTTTCTATCATTGAGTTTATATTTGATCTTTGAGTTGGATTATTACCAAAATAATGTGTAGATTTTAATATGTAAATACAGCGGTAAAGGGTGTTGTATATTTTTCTCCTATTTATTGTGCTTTGTTTTTTGTAGATATCTGTTACGTTGAGAATGTTAGAACTGTGTTTTGAAAGTTTTTACTTTTTTGGTATTGAGTGACAGGCGATTGATTTTCGATATTTGTTTTTAACAAGCCAATGAAAAAATTATATGCTTGAATTGACAGCTGGCCACTATTGTGTATGATTACGGAATACATAATTACGTATATATTTTTTATAACTGGTCAATTTCTGAGGGTTTATTTGTGAAACATTATAATAGACAATAATGAAATGATGGCCGAGTTAGCAAGATATAGAAGTATATATGGTGTACATGTTGGCATTTACATAAAGTTTATTTGGAGATCTCGAGGGGGCTAAAATGTTTTGACAAATAGAATATGCCATATTTTTTTTACACCATTATGCATTGTTTTATCAGAGATTTCGAATGAGTGCCGGGAAAATGTAAATATATTGTAAAGTCAGAAATTTTCACAATGGGTTAAAATCTCACTCATTTCGCGAATTAAGATTTTTTGTGAAAATAATTTTATGTATATAAGTAACACATAAGTTCAACAGAAATGAATGAGGAAACTTCATGAATTTCATGAATATTTAATTTTCTATTTAACCTAAATAAGCCAAAAAAAGTGAGTTTGCCAACTTGTGGCCACAAAAAAATATCTGATTTAACTTTGTTTGTGAAAATCTGAGGAGACTCGTCTCTTTATGTGCTTAAGCATATGTAATCATTTTATTTTTTACTTTAAAACATTTTCATAATTTAACAATTATATAACCCAAAAAAGAAAGTTTAATTGCAATTTCATTTATTTTCTAAGATTTCATGTTTTGCCATAAGTAGAATGAGTGGGTGGGGTACAGAATATTGTCTCAGGCATTGTTTGATATAGGTGCGTGAATGATTTAAAAAGAAAAATGAAAAAATTCTCGAATTAATTGTTCAAATTTATTTTGAAATATTTTATTCTCTTGCGTATATAAAAGAATGAAAAATATTTTGTTCACAAGTTCAGGCATGAGTTGAAAAATGGGACAGTCCATGTGTTATGGAAGATAACTCTTAACTCAAGTTAGCAAAGCCTTTAATGGGAGGTAACTCTTCAAAAACAGATTCTATATGTACGTCCAGTGCAGACCAAAATCAGCCCATTGTCTGAACTGTTTCTTTATTCAGTCAAATACATATTTTGAAATTCTCCCTTAAAATGTTATCATGGTTTTGTTCAGATTGAAAGATGGGCAAGGCTTAGTATTTAAGAACTTCAGCTGGTATAGGGGTTGAAAATATTTATGATGACTGTGAAAATACTTGAGTCATCATATTGTCAAGTGTTTTGCCAATAATTTGCGGATAAGCCTTAGATATAACCACCAAAACAAACAAAACAAAATTGAAAGGAAAGAATAATGTTAGTAAATGAAGTGGTATAGCTGTTTTTATAAACATGTTTAGTTAATTAATTAGCTTTTATTTATTTTTTTTACATCATTTATTAGTGCTGGCATTATTATTATTGTATACTATTTTATAATCGGAGAATTCTTTTTCATCTATTAATAGAATGTTTCTCCACTTGTGTGATGAGAATTTTCTTTTCCCCCATGCAGTAACTTTTTGACTGCCTTTTAAAAAAATGTTAAATAGTTTTGTAGGCTTTGATAAACATGTACATGTAGATGTAAATTTAGTTACAGATTTAGTTCCTTACTTTGTTTACCCGTGGTTACCATGACAGGTATATATGTAGGTTAGTTAACTATCTTGATATTATAAAGTTATTGAAAAAATCAAAAAATGTAAATGTGCTGTGTCATGAGAAAAATTGCCAGTACGTCGATCGGTAATCAGTACATACTGATGGTTATATTATTATTTATAAAGATTTTTACATGTTATATGGCCCAATATAAATAGTTGTATGCATATATAACTGGAGTCACTAGGCGAGGGTTATATGGCAACATATAGTTTATAAGAACGTTACAAATATCCAATGAAAAGCGTTGTTACAAACATGTAAGACGTTCACGAAGTTTATAATGTGATAATGAACACTTTACTGGCAGCTTTTCTCGTGACTTGGAGCATATTAGTACTTATGTTACTACTATATTTATCCTAGGGGAAAACTCATTTGTTACCCGGCTCGAAAAAGAAAAGTGTTCATAATGTTTACAAGATGTACATTTAGGTGTACAGAACGTAACTAATGTTACACTTTGTTAATTGCGAAATAAGGGCCTTTTAAAGCTATTATGTAAAAGTGCAATTTTGACCAGTTTGTGTTTTATTTGAAATTTAAAAAAGAAAGAAACAACTACAAGATTTCAGCTAACCATTGCTTTAAAAAGCTTATTTAAAACTTAATTTTATCTTTGGGTTCTTTGTAACAACTTTGACTGTATTTTATTCCTTTGGGTTCGTAATGAGAAAAAGCTTATCTTATATTGCTATATTATTGCTTGACGGTCATCATCATGCTACTATATTTGAAATAATGAATATTCAAGAGAGAAAGAATAGGGTTGATATTTCTAATATTTTGAAATTGTTTTTGTTTATCTCTTAAAATTGTATATATGTAATGGTTGAAACGTTTCATGAATGACGTAATAATGTGACTGTTTTATGTCTGATATAAAAACTAGTCAAAAGATCTGTGCATATTATTAACATGTTCTTATGAAGAAAAAAATAAAATATTGGTTAAAAAAATGTTTTGATGCAGTTGTAACTGTTCAGCCCCTTTTCATCATGTTCGAATATGGGTAATTGGCGAGGCGCACCGAATAGTCAAAATTTTGCCCGAGACTGGTTCCCTGCTGCATAGTTCATAGTTAATTTATTTTGGATGGGAACCAGGTTAGATTTTAGCTCCAAGTTATCAAAATGCTTATTTGATAAATAGGAACAACAGAAATAGTATTGCAATGTATGGTCCCCGAACCAGTGTGTCAGTGTATGTCGATGAAATGAGGGCTATATGAGCAAGTGCTAAAATTTATCCTCTCAAAGTTACATAAGATTACACAATGTATCTGGGCCGTCCGTTGCCGAGTGGTTCAGGTCGTTGACTTCAAACCACTTGCCCCTCGCCGCTGTGGGTTCGAATCCCGACAGGGACTTTGGATTCTTTCATGTGAGGAAGCCATCCAGCTAGCTTACGGAACGTCGGTGGTTCTACTCAGGTACCCGTTCGTGCCTGAAATAAATCACGGAAGGGCACCTGAGGTCTTCCTCGACCTGTAGAAACTATGATCTTTACTGTGTCGGTGTTACGTAAAACCCAATCAAACAAACAAACACACCATATATCTACCTACTAGATATTAAAGAAATACGTTTTCTAAGCACCAGTGATCTTGACCTTGTACCCAGTGACCACCTACTCCTCACAAAGTTAGTAGACCGCCAAAGGTATCTACAGTCTCGACAGATTTAGAGCATTTTAAATTAAGCTTTGATAAAGGGAGTTGATAGAAAAATAAGTAGTTCTCTAACTGTTTTAAGAAATTTTGCTCTAGACAAGCACTATGTTCACGATCAAATGAGAAAACTCAAATCCTCACCAAGATAGATTTATGGTTCTTGGATATTGCACTTCCTCTCTCTAGTGTCTGTGTGCTTGTGCGTGTGTGCGCGCGCGTGTCAAGTTTGCATAAATTTCCTTCTCCGGACAATAATGTGACGGACGGAAGGACGCACAATAAAGTGTTATTTCGTGCGAATGAATCTATGTGATGAATAGCATTAGATATATTTTCGTTTGTCAAACGATTTTTTATAATTCGTATTTTCCCACATCATTAACATATTAATTGATTCAAATGTATGTCCTGAATATATAATTGTAATTAGAATTCGTTGACATTTTGTGCTAATAAATCACACACGGCTATTGCCAGTTTATAATTAAAATTTATGAAAATAATTGTACTTAAATACGTGAGTTTAGAAGTTAATGATTACTGATTATTTAGTTATTTTAGTCCTATAACTCGGTTTACTACGGGGAGAAGGTGACATTGCTAAATAAATCTAATTAACGTTAACTTAGTTTTTGTCATTTCTATGCTGCGGTAAAATACGTATTAGTAAATGTGTATTCTAAAACATGTCGAAATGTGAACGTACAAGAAATAGAGAATAACAATAAACGATTTATCTTTTTCGAGTGATATGAAAAAAAATGTGGCACGAGTGAAATATGATCATTTTCATACTGCAAGATGAAAATAAATCCTGTATTGATAGAAAGAAACTTGAATTTTCTGTTTGTTATATACTTTTTCCCTTTTTAACCTCATATATCGAAATAATTTTCTTTTAAATTTGTATATTGGCTGAATTTAGAAGAAAGTAGTCCGACAAGACACCAGTGAAAATACGGAAAGTTTGTTTCACTGCACACTGCAGTGAAAATACGGAAAATAAAAATACGCTTTTTATTTCATCATTATTTCTCAATATTTTATCTATAAGTGCAAATATATAACCGTGGTTATTCGAGCGGTTTGTAAAATTGTTTTATTACTTGCATGTGCAGGAAAGAATCATTTATTTTAGCTCACTGGACCTCATAATTCTTGTGGATTAGGTTTTGTCTGGTGTCTCTCGTTGTCGTAAATCACAAGGTAGATTTTGAGATTTGACGAAACTTCACAGGAATAATCCTTTGGTGTCCCTCTACAGAAGTTATATATTTGGTTCCAGTCCAGTGCACAAGTAGGTCACAAGGGCTAAAAAAATACTTGGATAAAAATGTAAATTTTAAGTCTTTTTATCGGAAACTCCAAAGTCGAGAACCTAAGTATACTGGATCACACGTTTAGGGCTTATTATGTGACGCATGGAAGAAAGGCTAACATTTTTGCATGTAGCACTGTCTAACGGACCACTGCAAAAGTTTCATGAATCACAAAGTCAGGTTATTGTTAATATCAGACGTTCATCCGACCGTGTTGCAAACGAACGTGCAGAACCAACGTGTTTGTAAGAGCGTCTTGTGACAAGGACGAAGCTGTTTTTATGACAGATAGATGCTTGCTTTTTTCTAATTAAGACTGATGTACACACAGAAAATTAACGTTAGATTTATTATTCACGACACGCGTGTTTTTAATTTATTTTAGATTAGTTTTTATTATTGTGTTCCGAAACAGGGAAGTAGCTGGCTTTGATGATGCTAAAATATTGAAGTAGCACATTCATTGCTCTAATAATTTTTTAATTAGCTTTTTTTTTATTCTAAAGACACTTAAATTCAACACTTTCCTTAAAGGGACTCCATTGAGTTTTTTTTGACATGATGGGACTGAAAATATTTTTTCCAGATAAATGTACCATTTGATAAAGGTTTAGACCACTAATCTTTGTGCAAAATTTCAGATCATTCGCGCACTTGGTTTTTTCAAAATAATTATTCAAATTGTAAAAAATGACCCTAAAATGAAAAGCGTTTAAACGCTTTTCACTCAAATCGGACTAAGAAAAGCATTAACATACGAGTTTCAATTGATTTCAAAGTATAGTTCTTCACGATCTTTGCATATATTTCTGTTTAAAGTGCCCCAGCTCATTTATGTAAGAAATTCAAATGTTATGTTTTAAGACTTTTAAGCCTCAGTGATGTCCCTTTAATAATTTAGTCGGGTTTTAAGTCATATCGACTCTATGTGGTTATAGCAGTTTTTATAGAAGTTTGCTGCTGGCAAAAGTGTAAGACCTCACTATATGAAGCATACGCGGGCATCTGAGTAGACCTTGCATATTTCATTTAGCTGGCCACAATATGGCCGGATAGATTTCCTCTCAAGAATGTAATTAGAATAACTAGCGAGTTCCGAATCCAAAGCCATCAGTTATCCACGCGACCGCTCTTTTTTAAGCCTATTTTTGCTGAAATATGTCATTCTGCTTCTTTTGCAAGTACAACTGCCTTTGTATTCTTTTATTGCCGGCTAAAACATTGGTGAACTATGTTAAAATATTGCCCGTTTGTAAGGACGATTCTCATTGGATAATTGTGAATTTTAAATAAATTTTATACAAAACCGCTACTATATTCATAATTAGAGTTTTTGCCAAGGCAGCAAATTTCAGGCATTATATTTACTCTCATTGCTTTACGTCTGTTGAGTTTTTAAATACCTACTGTACGTTTATAACAACGATTTTAATTGGAAATCGTGAGTTCATCTTTCTCTGTATTATATATGACCTATATGATATATTTTTAAAGTATTGGACATAAAACAGCCATTTTTTTTTTGACCTAATTCTTTTGTTCAGATTTGTAGAATTCTTGATGGCTGAAACAGATCTCCGTAGTTTTAGATCATTACCGTAAATTGGTATACTGTATAAATTAACATTTACAAACAATTCATTCGTACAGACTAATTTGTTTCTAATGACATAATTATATTAAATATTTTTTCATTTTCTTTCCTGTTTGTCTGAAGATTTGAATTTCACCAAACAAATGTCAATCTGTATTGTCGTTAAACTTGGTTATGAAAGTAATAAATAAAAAATATTCAGTGCACACAATTGACATGAATTATTTACTGTAAGTGGTTAATTGCGTATTTATATAATTTTTTTTGACGTAACAAAATACGTAACTAGATCAATTAACTGTTACACGAAAACTGCATTCATTTAACAACCACAATCACATCATTAAAAACTAAATTAGTACGTTACTTACTCTATATTCAAAAAGACAATTAAAACAAATGTTAATTAGGCGCATTTCAGACTACATTTGTATACGGTGTGAAGCTAATGGTTGGTTTTATTCTCTTATGTGATAAATAAAAATGAATTTATTTTTAAGATGATGAATACAATTTTTTTCTGCATTCTTCTCTATAAACATTTATTTTCAACGGAATCTTTATTCAAAATATTGGAAAATATTTCGTCCAAGGAAACAAAAATTTTGGGCGAATTTATAACCAAGTTTCGAACTAAATGAAAATGACGAATAAAGGTAAAACATGATAATTCACTTAAAGAAATGAAAGGCTAAAAAAACATCAAAAAAGTTTAACCATCTTTTTGCATTTGAGCCATTAAAGAAACCCCACGGAGGGTTTTTGACATGAAGGGACTGTAAATATTTTTTCGAGATTAATGTTTCAGTTGATAAAGGTCTAGACTTATAACTTGTGCACAAAATTTCAGATCGTTAGTTCACTCCGTTTTTTTCCAGAATAATTATTTTAATTGTGAAAAATGACACAAATTGAAATGCGTTGCAACGCTTTTCGCTCAAATCGGGCTAAGAATAGCATAAAATATGATCTTCAA